CCCTACAAACGAAGAGCCTGAGCAGAACTCTGAGTGTGGGAGAGAGAGTGCTGTATGTGTGTTACAGTAACCTTTGTTTTTTTGGCTCTTGACCAGCAACTTCCCACCACATGCATTTATGTACATGATTATTGCTCTCACATTCTTTGAATGCAGTCCAAATAATGAGTTCAAAACTTTTCATTAAAATATAATCTCGCTTCTAAATTCCCCAAAACACGCACACATGAACACTCATGCGTACATGTGTACACACATACACACACGACCCAGGGCTGTATGATTTCCTCTCCTACTTACAAAAGAAGCTAATATTCAGCTCCAAGGCACTGATTCGAGCTTGAAGAAATAATTTGTGTCACGCATGTGTTAGGTATCAGCAGGGGCACTTTGGGATTGGCTTAATTAGCTCTAGTGATGGGGGAAGCAAAATCCAAACCATGTGCTAGAGCCGTCTTCTAAATGTAACGCAAGCAGTTTCAGGTTGACCTTTGACCCTCTACCCAAAAAGTTTTGTGCATAAAAGTTTCCGTATCTTTAATCAGCCCCCATTCCGTTCTCCTGCTGCCCCAAATGCATGCATGCAGGCATGTTTTTTCATTCAGAACTCTTTTGATGATTGTATAGTTTGTCTTGCTTCATTTCCAGCCCATGGGATGGTGTTTGAACACATACACACCACCATGAACTAGAAGCAGAAGCAATCTTCTGTGAACTAGCACAGAGTAAGAAGTTTGGGATTAAATATGGATGAAGACCAAACCCCTCCTCATTTGAGAAAATGATACTTGATTTGCCTACACTAGCATACTCTGTACTGAACGCATCACTGGCAGTCAGGAGCACCTTACTTCTAGTTCCATCTCTGCTGCTGACTTGTTGTGTGTGGCCTTGAGCAAGTCACATTGGCTCCTTGTGTTATTGTCTCCCTGCCTAACAGACAGAGCTAACAGCATCTTTGTTTCTGGAAGGAGCATACAGAACTGGACTAGGACGGGCTGCATTAGACTGGGCACGTCTACCTCCTTTAGGTTTATCAGATAACGTAATGCAGACAGGAGCACAGCCTCTTGCCACAGCCCTTCCTGGTGTAGCTCTGCACAAAGCATGCACCCAGTTGCAGCAATGGCAGCATTGCAGTGGTGCCATACCACAGCACCTCTGGAAGGCTCTTGTGGCATCCCATTTAGAACCAGAGCTCTAGAGAAGCAGTCTGATCTGTTCCGCTATCTGGAGCCCTCCTGGAATCCATAGAACTTCTTAAGCATGCAGAGAGCAGATCAGGTTCCTGTATCTTTCTGTCTGATCAGTGTAGCCCAGTTTAAGGCCTATGACTCCCTATAAATTCCTCTAGACTGAACCCAAATGTCAAACTGCTTCCCTTGGCAGTGCCAGTTGCCCTGCTGAGGAAATGAATGCTCCCTTTACACTGCAGCCCTGCCACTGTGGTAATGAAGCAAGACCCAGGTTTGGCAATTCCCTTGTCTGCACAGCTTCAGAAACTGGAGCTTTGCAGATGCAAACAGCTGCCTGGCAGAATGGGTGAGTTTGATCTGCCTTACACAGAGTTGTGACCAGCCCAGCAGAAGCCACAAAAGGCAATGGGAGCTACTATTTGCTGCCTGGTATTAGTCAGCCCATCTGTGACTCCTACAAACTCCTCTATCATGTAGCAGGTGCTGACTTCATTGGAGCACCCTTAGGATCAACAAACCATACCGTCAGTGCTATGACAGGGGATCATGGGAGCCAAGGCATAAACAAGTTGACCACATAGTTGAAATTGTAAATATTTACCTTCAATGACATGCTGTATTTAGGTACCATGAAGGTATGTCCTTCATATCAGTTCAGATGTGTGGTTGGGAGGAACTCTCACTGTACAGCATGGAAGACCTTGAACAAGATGAGCAAGTGAAGAAAATACCTCCTGCAGGGTTTTCTTGATAGTCACTAGCAAGGCACATTCTAGCCTTGGACTTGCTGAGACAAGCATGACTTTTTCTACACTGAGGTTTAGAATTATCTAGTGTACAGAGTTGCAGAGAAGCAAAAGAGACATCAAAATACCTGTTAGAAACTACTGCTCAAACCCTATTTAAAAGCTGAGGGCTGCTATGCATGTGCACAGAGCCTACTCTGATACGCTGGAAATCCAGCTCATCAGAATGGTCTCAATTAATCGAGTCTGCTGGAGCACAGAAATTGACATGCCGGTCTGGCACCCTTCTGCAACATGTGTATCAGTGTTGCTGCGTGCCTCTGCCCTGAAAAAATGGCGGCAGGATGCTTCAAAATAAAGCATGTTCTATGAGTTTTAGTTCAAAGCACCCTGCCGCCATTTTTTCAACATGGGGATGCGCGGCAACACTGACACATGTGACATGTGGGTGCTTTTAATTAGCGTGGTTTGCTAATTACAGCACCTGGCACCATATCCCACAGCACATATAAAAATGCCATGGTGTTTAACCACAGGGGCCTAATGAAAAAGATAGAGCAGAATTGTACTCAGCAGGCACAGTTTATTCCCATTTTTCACTCATGCCTCCTGTGTCTCTGTGCTGAAGTCAAGGGGGTTACTTCTGGTTGAAACTGGTGTGAATTAGAGCACTTTAGCCCAATACTACAAGGAATACTTTGATGTGGCCTCTTGATGCAGGAATCAGCTATTAAGTCTGTCCCCAGGCACTGTCCCACATGTGCCCATTTAAGGAAGGCAGTTCCATCATTCTATCCTAAAGTCAGGCTGTTGCAGACACAAGCATGGCAGTCTGGGGTGCATTACAGGTCTCTGCTGGTTAGCTAAAGGCATGAACAAGAAAGGGGTTGTGACTCAAATGCATTATGTCTTCTTCCTGAGTCCCTAAGGCAGGCAGCTGGGGACACTCCTTTTGCTACCTTCTCTGTTTATTTGTTGTTCGTTGTCCTGCCCTTTTCCTTTCTTCCAGTTCAGTACAGTTATGGAGGGCCTTAGATTCACTGTGCAGGGTATGCTGAGAGGTGGAGAGGCTTAGATGAGAGACCAAGGCCTCCTGAACATGGCTTCATGGGAGCTCTTGCTGCAGAGAGCATCTGGGGGAAGGGTGGGCAAACAACAGGGTAGGAGTCCTTTCAGCTGCACTTTTCAGTCCCATAACCTACCCCCTGAGAAGGGGAGCAGAATGTAGCTGCCACAAATCATCTCCATAGCATGCGGAAGGGTTCCTGTCCCTCCCCCACACACAGCCCAGACCTTCCCAACACAAAGTCCAGCTACACAGGCTTTGCACTGGGTCCAGAGTTTGACCCAAAGGAAATAAATTCTGGCTCTATCCAACAGCTGTTTTCCTGTGTTACTGCTTTCAATTTAATGTATTGAGTTTAATTCCAGCAACACAGTTTAGACCATGGTTGTGTTTTTCCATATAAGATGCAAGGCACGCGTATTGGGTTTGTGCAGACATTTATGATTTTGGAATGCCGCTCTGTAGGGGCTGTTGCCACATGCTTGGTTTCCCTTTTACAAAGTTCCTGATTTGTGGGGTGACAGCGGTGGTAGATCTGCTTAATCTCTGCTTGTAGGCGCTGCATTGAACTCGTGCTGCCATTCTGATCCTGAAGGATAGGATGGAAGTCTGGTGCCAACAGAGCCAATTAAACACTCCCCTCTGAGACAAAAGTCACAAATCATTTCTCTGCTCCAGGAAACCTGCAATACATTTCTGATGATGCAGTAGAGAAAGACCTGTTTCAAAGACAATAAGTCCTGCATTGGCACGAGAAGAGAGAGGAGGAGAAGAAGAGCACTGAATCTTTACTTTTGGTCTTAATTCCCTTCCAGTGCCCATTATATGATCTCAGAAATAAAATGCAGGGGAGTAAAGGGGAGTTAGGCACCTACAAATCTTTGCAGATTGTTTGGTCAATCTTGGCATTGCTTTCACAGAGCTTTACACATCCCTTTCACTTTCCTGCCTATCACCGCTGAGTTGGCAGTAGTCCTCTTCATCTTGAATGCAACTAGTGTCCCATGAGACTAGTGCTGTACATATTCATTGTACCCTTCATCGAAGAGGTTGCAAACTAAATAGACAAAGGCTTAGAGAAAGGCAACAGCATTATTTTTCAGAATTTTCAAATGAGAATGGAGGCACATTTTGGCTTTGATCTCACACTTGAAGCATGTATTAAATCTGGGATTTAAACCCAAT